ATGCCGGGCCGGAAACTAACTTATTTATGAAAGTCACGCCTATAAATATCCAGCAACTGCCTGTTTCATTCCCCCGTTTATACAACATTTGAAAGGAAGACGGCCAACAAATAAATATATCACGGAGCAGGAGTTTCAGACCATTATGAACGAGGTGGAAAAAAATAAAGTCCTACTATTTGGATGTCTCAAATGTGGCATCAAGGTGGCTCAAAAAAGAAACAGGAAACAATCAGCTCTGCACCGGCAGAAACGCTATCTTGGAAAATGTAACTTCATACAACGCGCACTTTGAAACCTGCTCTCTCTGTAACCACCGGTTCTTTTGTCACGTGTATTTTTGAGCTGGACTCAACGTACAAGCCACGGCCAGGCAAGCGTGACTGTGTAACCATCTGTTCAAGAATTTGAACTCACTCTCTCTCTCTCTCTCCGGACCGCAACGCGAAAGTACAGCAGCCGTTGTTTTGGACTCTCATTGGACTCTCTCTCTGAACCCGTTCTGTGAAGGACAGCTGTACGCGCACATTCTCAACGCATGTGAGTACGCCCGTGAAAGGAAAGCCTTCTTCAACCATCACAGCGGTCCCCCATCTTGCCCTGTCCAGGACAATAGCCACGTGTTCCTTCCACAACACGCCGGTGGGAGCCAGAGACTCGATGAACGGCCGTCTCACAGTAAGACTGAACTAAACCCTGTACTGGTTGTTGTGGTGTTATGGTTTGAAATGTGATTTGAATCATTCTGGTTTCATGTGACTAAATCCTTCGTTACTCTACCCCTTTCTTGTGTTTAGTTAATAAAACTAGAACTATAAGCAGCTAAATCGTCATTGCTTCTTTATTACAATCCCTGAGTTCCCTGGCAGATTAGACCTCTACACCTCCAGATTATTAGGCTGATCAAGGCATAGATCTAGCACAGTAGTATTGCAGGATTTTACCCTGTTGGTGCCCTCTCTAAACTTTAATCTACGCTAGGTCCGAGTGGTGTGACTCTCAGAACAACACTTTGTGGTGGCTAAAACCAGCATAAAATTTGCTCTGAGACAATCATCACTCCAATAGTTAGAATTTATTATTTCATGCCTACAGGTGAAAAATAATGGAGCGACCTTAAAATGGCAACAAAAAAGTGTTTAGAAGCTCCAAAGAAAATATTAAGAAATAAAATTAACTTCAAATTATGTATGTGATTATTATTTTAAAATGGTTGAATGAGAGCCTGTCTGAGCTGTACTGGCCAAAGGCGATGCACTGGTGGGCTTCTCCACCAGTGCATCCAATGGCACACCGTGGTCTTGTGCCGTGTTGTGGAGGCCTAAGCCAGGATAATATGGCACACTTGTACCAGGAGGTAACCACCTGCATGTCCCAGAGCCATCTTCCTCTGATCAGACCATGCAGCGCTCCACGGTGGCGCACGTCTTTGCTTAGACCCGCATAAACCAATTGCCGTTGCACACTGATTGTAGGTGCTACACATACAACAATCCACAAATTAGTGGGAGACTTTTGAGTTTGACATATTGCATGTTATTTATTAACATAAATCGGCATAGCCCAAACAAAAAGTAACTGTGAAATTGCACATTTGTAAGGTGAGAGGTGTGTCTATAATTTTGACAGAATGGGAATATGTTTATTGTTGTCCAAATTTTGAATTTCGTTCATGTTATTTGCGTGTTGAGATGGGTGTAACATTTACACCACCTCTATTCTGTGTGTACCGTACACTCACTTCCAGATTGATAAATGCCGAAAGGTGTAACATTTTTTCCCGTATCCCTAATTTACACCCTGATTTGGCCATACGCACGTTTCCTAAATGAGGGCTTGTTTCATATAAGAAAAAGATTTAGTAAGATGGCTTAAAGCCGATAAAAACTGCCTTTCCTGCACTATGTAATTCTACTTTTATGTCACTAGCTTTAGCTGCACTGTGCACACTGTGAGGGCCGGCCCACAATGGTGATACCACATTCTTAACTCTCCATTTCCATTGGATGTGGACTGTTGTCATAGCATTTGACATTTTAAAATGTAATATTAAAACTTTTGAAAAGGTGACAAGTCTCCAGAATGTCAACTGTATCAAAAGCTGAAATACAAGAACATAATTAAGCTACAAGGCTTGCGAGATTTCAACAGCAGGATATTTCTAACAATGCCAAAAAATAGATGTTTATAAGAAACGCCAACCCACACAGTTCAATGTAGTTCGTTCCAAGTTAATCCATTGTTCGGCATTGTCAGACATTTGTTAAAAAGTATTGTCAACATCTTTTCACCAAAGGAAATTGCTCTTACAATATATTTGATGACTTAGATTAACTTAGATTGTGAGAACCTAAATGAAAAATTCATCATCTGGAAGTTGCCCCTGTTTAGGCTGGGGTAGCTCTTTCTCAACCCACAAAATAACCCACTATGTATTACAATCCATGCTGGGTCGTTAATTTTAGAAAGATAATTTTTACTTAATCTTTAGATCAGGAAAAGCAAGCACAAAATAAGCTTTCAGCCCAAAGAGTCAAATTGTGACTCGCAGGGCTCTTTCTTACACATTATGTGAGTCACAATTATGTGTTCTCTATGAAAACAACATGTCATGGTGTGATTTGTTGAGAACTTTTTTCTTATACATTATTCTGCCTATTTGACAAGCAGGGACGGTGCTTATGAAGGTCCTGGGTTGGATTCCACCTCCAGACTGAGCTGTGTGGAATGTTCTCCCTGTGCTTGCACATGTTTCCTCCAGGTGCTCCGGTTTCCCCTATCAATAAAAACATGTACAATAGGTCCAGCAGTACCCCACATGTACAAGTGACCCTGCTAGTACAACAACAATTGTAAAGCGGAAATGCCAACAACACTTGTAGAGCAATTTACTGTATGACTGTCTGTGAAATAGGGCGGGGCTATACAATACTATTCGTATTAATACCGATTTAATGTTCAATGATATATGAAACTGAAATATCACAACAGAATTTCTGCGTTTGCGCTCTAAGGTTTTGGCTACCTTTGGGCTGAGCGCATGCACTCCTTCTGACTTGGGGTAAGCGACTCCTAAATGGTAACGCGTGGTGCGACCTGTGCGCATACTGTGGGCGGCACGGTGGCTGAGTGGATAGCACTCTCGCCTCTCAGCAAGAAGGTCCTGGGTTCGAATCCCGGTCGGACCAGGGCCTTTCTGAGTGGAGTTTGCATGTTCTCCCCGTGTCTGCGTAGGTTTCCTCCGGGTACTCCGGTTTCCCCTACCACTAAAAATATGTCCAATAGTTCTGGCATGCGCTTCCTGTACTGGCGACCCCGCTCCCATCTCTGTGTGGAGTGAGAGACAAATACCCAAAATTAACAATTGTAAACCGCTTTGAGACTCAGATCTGCAGTGAAAAGGCGGTATATAAATGAAAACTTACTTACTTACTTACTTACTGTACTTACACTCTGACGTCCCATCTCCGCCCAGAAAAATAGTGATAGAACCAAACAGTTTTGAGAGTGAAAGATTTTCTTTTTTCCCCCAGCACTTTATAATTATTTTCGGAATTATATGATCATGACATTTTTGCCCTATCACCCGCCATACTGTGAAAAAAAGATTGCTAAATAAAGAATACATCATTACTATTATTATACGACACAAACGTTGGGCATCCCTGCTTTAAGTCAGGCTTTTGTCTAATCATTGTTCTCTGAAAGAAAAGGCTTTCAAGAAAAAGTTTGTGATTTTTGTATTTCTATTCTATTCAGACCAATAAATCCCTAACCGTAACACATTAAAATCTGTCAGGCTGTCAGGCATTCTAATAAATGGACGTTTGAAGGACTTCATTAATAAGTGTACAGGACAGCCACACATGGGTCAGCAGATTTAAGTCAGTGCTCGAATGCTTATATGGACCCGACAACCATAACTTAAAGCGTCAGAGCGCTGTACTTTCCACCAATTGTGGAATTGTGGACACAAAGTTTACTGTCAAATCCGTTTTATCTGCAATTAAAATAACAGTCGGTCATTTTGGAGTTTAAATTGGCCCGTTTTAATAGCCTGCCACTCTGCATCAGCCCCGAGGGAAGGACTGAAAGTTGACCATTTTCGGCGTATTCCTCACTGAAAAAATTTTGCCTCTCATATTTTCTGTAGAAGAATTCATGAAATAGTCAGGAATCCTGACATTGCAGGGTATCTTTTAACATGGCGGGTTACCTGGTTATTAAACATTTACAAACAACAGGAGAATAACTCAAACTGGGCAAAAAATATGGCTTTAATTGATTCATCAGACCCTGCGTTGGCATAGAAACTTGGAATGCAATGAAATATGGAGGTGCAGCATGCTTTTGAAAACTTGGTGAACTGAAGGGCTATAATTGAGAGTTTCATAACTGTCAAACTGTAACATTTCTCCAAAAAGGTGATATAAAAAGAAGTAGGCTATCCATCCATTTTCTTCCGCTTTATCGGTAATCACTGGGTTAGTTCAAGCAGAGACCCTCAGACTTCCCGATCCACACATGTCCTCCAGCCCATCCAGGGGAATCCCGAGACATTCAAAGGCCAGCTGGAAGACTCTTCTTTACTGCAGCCTGAGACCTGGATCTATAGCTTGCCCGGTCATGTGAGCAGATCACTCTCTCAATATGGGCCTCGCCAAGGTTTCTCTCTTTTTTTCCCACTGGATTTTTTCTAATTGTTGCGTACCGATGCAGAAGGGTCTAAAGACAGTGATGATCTGGGGCATAAAGACATTTATTCACATCAATTAATATTTATAGTCATCCTGCTCCCTATGGATCTGTGGCTCCTCTTCTTGGCAAATCTACAACTTGGCAAAGTCCTCCAAAACAACTGCTGCTGTGGTTTAGGGCTCCACACAAATAGTACTGGAATTATTTGAATAGTAGTTGTATAGTGTCATTACTCAGCTGCAATCCAAATGCAGTTTCAGCAGTACTTAAAAAAAAAAGATAACAGCAGCCATGTTACTCACACGCGATCCGGACCGAGGCTTTGCGACTCTTGGCGGTACCCAAATGGCTCCAGGCGACACACAGGCACCAGTAGTCCTCAGGCCCATGGAAGTCCTCCACCTGCTGCCGGGACACGTTGATCATCACCTCTCGCACCTTAAGCCCTAGAAGAGCAGAAAACAGACCAACACATGAATGAAATAATGATAATAATAATAATGAACAAACCTCCATTTCTCCGCACATATAACGTGTGTTTATTCTCACATTCAATGCATTCAGTACATTTACACTTTAGCATCCCATAAAATTCTACAAACTCGCCCTGTGCTTTCACCTACTTTGGATGAATGCTGGGTTATTATACTAGTTTCCATTAATAAATGTTGCTTTAACTTAACTCAGCTTAACACAGGTCCTCGTAATGAGTATTTTTTGTTTCCTCTTCTCCATACATCTTTGATGCTTTGATTGTTTATTGGGAGAGGGTCGAGGGTTCCCTTTATGGTCCCTTTCTGGTCTTTTTCTCTGGTCTCCTCCTTTGTTCTCTTTCTCTCTCTGGTTTATCTCTGGTCTGTCTCTCTCTCTTGTTCTTTCTCTCTCTGGTGTCCCTTTCTGTGTCCCAATGAAGAATGAATGGAGGACAACAAAGACAACCAAAAATTGACACCTAAACAGATAAACATATGAATCATTATCAATTGCAGAAAGTTGAACATACATGCTACTTAATAGAGCTTTGGGAGTTACGAGACAGCTCATCCACACACTCACTACACACACAATGATCACCCCTGTGGGCATAGCTTTAGGCAAAAATACTGCTGCTTCTGTTTGTTTGTGTCAAGGCCACATCTTCTCAGTATTGTGTTGTGGTTTTTGTTGTGTGCAATCTTCATTTTCCACTTTCTGCTGGACAAACACCAGCAGAAAGTTTAGACCTGACTCAATTCTCTCACACAAACTCTCTCGCCTCCAGTTCTTTATTTCCAGTCTTTGCATTTTGGTGAATTCTCCATCTGCTCTGGACATTACTGAACAAAAGCACATGTGACAAGCCTTAAGCCTGTGATTCAGATTACAAAACAGCTTCTCTTAAATCTCTGGAATCTTTCTGACAGGGAGCAGCCCCAACACTATATCGCATCATAAGAGGATTTCCAAACATGAAACACCACTGCATTTTTTAATAAGACTCGCTATGTTGCCTGGTACTTTGTATTACATAACTCTCTATATTGTCTATCCTTCCAACAACGCCATTTGAGAGCTTAAGAGCGGTCTTTGCGATTAGCGCTTTATTCGGCTCTGGCTGATTTGGCGTTCTTCTTGCTGGCTAAAAACATACAGAAGAGCCGATCCCCCCTCATGCCCCCTAGAGGGAGTGAAACACCGACAATTGTCTCTCACAAGCTCAATGTTGACTTAACACAAGATTGTATGCATAACTAATCCTCTGAAAGCGCATTGATCACTGGAGCAAGCCTCGGACCAATCCGGGCATCGATTGGACATTGTGAAAGAGCGCTCTGCTGTGTGTGAGCGTTTGTTCTCTGAGCTGGTGCGGCAAGCGGAAAGATCACTAATATGAGTGATGGATTTGCACTTGTTGTCCAACGGAACATTCACTTTGAAATGGTGTACAAACACACGGCCAGATGAGAAAGAGAAGCTAAAAGAGATAGATTTTTTATTTAAATACGTTCAGCTTCACCCTTGCATCTCTCTCTCTCTCTCTGTGTATGGCTTAAGTAGGTATCCTCCAGGTGCTCCGTTTCCCCTACCACTAAAAACATGAACAACAGGCAAAATCTCCAGCTCCGGTCCTGGCCAAGCTGAGCATCAACATCTGAAGATGAATCCCCAGGCGCTGGTTTCTCTGGGCTGTTCTCTTTCTGAGAACTGAGAACTGGACAAATGTGATCTTACTTCCTGGTTCTAGTGAGAACTGAAGCTACAGCATTTTGAACTTACTTCAGCAGAGCAGACCGTTACAGTATTCTAGAGCAGCTATTATATGACTATTAAATGGCTATCATATGATATTGTCAGTATTGTGAGCTGTGTACCGTTTAGTATCTAGAGGGACCCAGTGTTTCCGAATCCCAGCACAGCAGTAAAAGCCCACATGGTACACTGTATTAAACCAGTTTAATTCCAGTTACCACCCTTTTTTTTGCTTTTGTTCGCCTCTTTATGCTAAATAACTTTCAAATCCGACAAGCTCTTACCAAAGTCAAGCCGGCCGAAGCAGATTGTGCCACGCTAGACGGACCGGCGAATACCAATTAAAAGGAGTGAATGGCAGAATGGCTTCACGCTGTGTCTGGCTCTAAAACTTATTACAATTTGAGAACATGGCACAGCAGGAGGTCTTTGCGTCCTGAGTGTGTAAGTGACAGGAGCAGGGAAAAGACCAGAGCAGTGTTGTGTCCCTGGCTTATTGTTGACAAGCTGTGAAATGGGAAATGAGGCTTGTGTTTGTGTTTGTGTGTGAGTGTGTTTATCTGTCTGTCTGTGTGCATCTCATCTATTTATGTGTGTGAGTGTATGTGGGTATGTGTGTCTGTCTGTGTGTGTGTGTGTGCGTGCGTGTATTCAATGGGCTTGTTGAGCGTCTGGTTTAAGTCAATCTTGTCGTCGGCGACAAATTCGCACATGTTTTACAAGTGGTCAATTTACTTGCGAACGGTAAATGGTAGCGACCTACTTTTTTTTTCTCCGTGAAGTAGACATTCCAGGCAATACGGTTTGTCTGTGGCCCGTATGGAGGATATACTACGTGTGTATGAAAGTCAGTGACCAATCGGATCTTCGAGCAGTGACCCGTGAGCCAGAAAACGGCCAATTGTAACGTTTTTCACTCACACTGGACTCACACGGGGAATCACAGAAAGATTGTCAGAGAGTAAGATGGCTCACTCCTCTGTGTACTTGTTGCTGCATAGGCAGAAGCGCTCAGAGGAGTGCGCATTATTGATATAGACAATAATAAATACAGTAAAATTATATTACGTGTATATAATGTATTTATTCATAAAAAATATATGTTTTATTTATATTTTTGTCTTAGTTTCTTATGTTTTACGTATTTTACAGCTGTGATACTGAAGAAACCCCAGCCTTATAGACAAACTGCTTCAAAAAGGGCATCAGAAGTACAGCGTTTTTGGCTTTTATAGTGGAATTATGTAAAAATTATAATAGTCACAGGTTAATTTTTTTCCCCCATTATCAGCAAGACCCTAAATAACATTTCTATGCTGTGTAAAAAGTTGTTTATAGCATTTCATTGTGTCTTTTCAATATATTTTTGTCTTCATCATGATTCCATAATTGTTATATAATTGATATGACAGCTCTACAATATGAATATTCTAAAACCCCAGGTTGTACTGGAAAAAAAAAACAAAGTATACTGCTTGACTCTGCATCAAGCAGCGAGTGCGTCTGGGGAAGAATGTCTCGGACTCTCGGATTATAAATACAGGAGCCCCACAGGGCTGTGTTCTTTCTCCCCTGCTCTTCTCCCTGTACACCAACCACTGCACCTCCAGCCACGACTCCGTGAAGCTGATCAAGTTCGCGGACGACACCACCCTCATTGGACTCATCTCCAACAACGATGAGTCCGCCTACAGGAGGGAGGTGGACCGGCTGGTGTCCTGGTGCAGTGGTAACAACCTGGAGCTGAACGCCCAGAAGACAGCGGAGATGATTGTGGACTTCAGGAAGAGCACTGTCCCCCCGCCCCCACCCTCCGTGATGGACTCCCCCATCACCTCTGTGGAGTCCTTCCGTTTCCTGGGCACCACCATCACCCAGGACCTCAAGTGGGAGCCGACCATCAGCTCCCTCATCAAGAAGGCCCAGCAGAGGATGTACTTCCTGCGGCAGCTCAGGAAAGCCAAGCTGCCTGCACAGATGTTGGTGCAGTTCTACACGGCCATCATCGAGTCCATCCTCACCTCCTCCATCACCATGTGGTTCGCTGGAGCCACAGTCAGGGACAAACAGAGACTACAGCGCATTGTGCGCTCTGCAGAGGAAGTGATCGGCCGCAGCCTTCCATCGCTGCAGGACCTGTACGTCGCCCGAGCTCGAGGCCGGGCTGGTCGTATCACAGCCGACCCCTCTCACCCTGCACATGGACTATTCCAACCACTCCCCTCAGGCAGGAGGCTGCGGTCCATCAGGACTAGAACCTCCCGCCACAAGAACAGTTTCTTCCCCTCTGCTGTTGGACTCTTGAACACTTCTTAACCTGTCCCCCCGCCCTTTATAAAGTCACTTTACTGCCCATCATACGTCACTTTACTTTACTGTACTGCTGTCACCTTACATTGTGTGCACCATGTGCACTTGTATATTGTAAATAGTAACTGTAACTCTATTTTAAATTTATTCTTTAGAAGTGTTTTTTATTCTTATTTTTATTATCTCTTTTTGACTGTTGCACTGAGCCAAAGCAATTTCCAAGTCTGTGACCTCCTGTTACTTACGTTGGCAATAAAAATGATTCTGATTCTGATTCTGATTCTGGGTGGGTGTGTTCACAGGCTTGGTCCTGGACAACAACCTCAACCCTGAACTAATGCCCCATTCCTGGACCACACCCTCATTCCTGGCTCCAAAGCCTCATCAATTCAGCTATAGCTTCAGTAATAGAATCAAACTGTTTAAGAACCAGGAACTAGTTTTTGTAGTTTTAAATTGAGTAATAAAGGTTTAAAATGCCAAAAACATTTGTGTTCAAGCTGCTTTGATATCATCTTTAGTATTTATCCTACTCAACTGCAACAAGAGAATTGTGAAGAATGTGGCTATGTTCACCCTTCCGTCTCTTCACAGTCCTATCTTTGATGAGAAATGTGCCTTTTTATTATACTTCTTAACAAACTCCCACACACAGTAGGCTCCTTGTAGCTTGAACACACCCAAAAGCGTGCTGCCGATCACCAGGGCATGGTGCAGGTGACAGGCCTCATTAAACTGAAGCTCTTGATCTCTCTCCTCCAGCCGTCATTCCACAAATCTTGGTGAAAAAAGCTGAATCATTCATGACAAAAAAGGTGCAAAAGGGGCTCCGCTTTCAGGCCGACAGACGATCAGCGCTGTGGAAGTGTCACCGCAAGGGATTTTCGAGGTGAGTGTACATGACAAG